ACATGCTGGCAAACAGTAACCACAGCCAGCCCTGAAACCAACTTATTGTCTAGTCTACTGGTACTACGATTTTTATGTAGAGATTATTGATTTTAGGCTACAATGTCAGAGAAAGTGAAGTTCTGTACTTCACTCGTGATCTCATAGGTCATAAACTGTGTGCAATTACACAAGCACTACTTAGCAGTAGTTTAAACAGTTTGTTAGTTGTTGTTATCTCTCCCAAGAGATCACTGCTATTGCTGTCTGTAGGTTGTGATTTGCAGTAGTGTAATCATCTGAAAAGACTGGATTTGTTAAGCTTCTCAGATAATACAAAACCAAGTCAAGCAATACTTAAGAGATACCAAATGGACTTAAACAAAATGTTTTTCTTACCTGAAGAGGTATTATTTTATTATGTCCCACCCATCCAATCTCCAACAGGCAAAGTGGTTTTCATTGGGGGACACATACTAAAATGAGAAAAATATGAAGGCATTTCTGTGAATTCTAGTATTAGTGGTATCATCACCTTAGTGTGACTGAAGTGTTGAGTAACAATACAGATACTGCTTGACTCTTCTCGTTTAAAAGAGCACTAAGTCAGGGTTTTTCTTCCAGAACCTGACACCAAGTCTGTGAAAGTCTTCTTCCCTGAAGTGATTCAGAATGAAAAACTATGTGCTATTTTGTCTCATGCATGTAAAACACATACACTGTTAGAGATTCTAAGAGACCTTAAAACCCACTGGTAAGTTTTCTAGTAATAAACTATTCTTGTATGAATTTATTGAAGATTACTCAGCCCTTCAGGAAAAAGATTGTAATCATGCAGGGAGTTTGAGCTTTTTTCTTAACAGAGTGGACTTACAAAACCTTTTTAACCTTGTACTAGTTAATTTTTACTTTGATATTCTTCACCCCTTTGCTTACCTTCATTTCCTTGTGCTTTGGTGGGGTTTGACCCTTACAGGCCTCTCTCAAAGGAGATCAAGGCAGATCTCCCTGCATGTGCCTGCTACTCCTGTCCTCCATGGAAGCCCATGCATAGCAACTCCATAGGGATCCAGAACGCTGTGATGGGAGACAGCTGGGAAATACAGGACAGTGAAATGCCGGGGCTCTGAAATGAGCTGGCCCAAGGCCTCTCTCAATTGAATTTTGCAGCTTTCCAGGATATGGGGCCAAGTTCATTCCTAGTACAGACAAAGCAGAGAGAGGAGCTGGGTCAGGAAGTTTCCATGGGTACAGGCCTGCTGTACGAACCAGCAGTGAATAACCAAGGCCAGAGCCCTGGAGCTCCAGCATCCTGCTCTCCCATCCACTAAAGAGGATGGGAAGGATGGAGGCAGCAGCTGCAGCTGTTGAGACTTTCATTCCTCTCATGGCCCCCAGCACACCCCTTCCCTCGGGAGGAGCTGACCCCGCAGTCCCACAGCCACCCAGCCCCTGCCCCAGCTGCAGCACAGCCTCCTTGCAGCACCAGGGCTTTGGCCATGCCAGGCAGCTCAGCTACCGCAGTTCTGCTGCCCTGGGGCTGACAGCTGCAGAGGCAGTTGCCTGCTTTGTCCAGGCCTTTGAGAGCAGGCAGATTCATGCAAAGCATGGGGTAAATACAAGTTACTCCAGTCTTTAAAAAAAAAAACAACAGAAAACCCCACAGTAAGCTGGAGGCGACCGCCCACCTCCAGTGTTTGCTGGACCAGCAGTGTGTAGCTGCAGAGGAAAACAGGAGCTTGGCCTCTGGTGAACAACCTCATTCTTTCTGAGGGACAGGACAGATGAGGCAAGGAAAATATGCCTTCCACCTGCCAAAAAGACTTAAGGGTAAAGCTTTGCCATTTGGACTATACCTTGCGAGTTGCTGGACAAGCTCACTTCCAGTTAATGTCAGTGGGATTTCTGTGGGAGCTTAGCAACTGGCGTGCTGTAAGCCATTACAGGGGTAACAGAGGGATGACAGGGGAACCTATCAATGCAAATGCATGTGAGGCTGAAGCCATCCGTGGTCTGTATTAAGTAAAGCATTCAGGTGATACTTCACAGATAGCAACGGTTGTACTTGAATAAATTAGTCCTCACCCTGGCTGCTGGCTTTCTGCTTTACAGATGGGGAGGTACTATGAGTCAAAATGCATTCTCCCCAAGTCTGTTTTGTCTTCTTTTCAAATTAAATTCAACTTATTTATGTTTATCTAGATAACATCCCATAAGTACTTTTAAATATAAATGTTCTTCTCAATTTTCACTACTTCTAAAGCTGTCAGTAAAACATACTTTAAAACTACTCTGTGGCACAGATGAGCTCATTACTTATCCATATTTTCTTTCATATACAGAGAGGCAGGTATTGCTCAGTTCTCTCATAGAAGGCACTGATGAGAACAGCAGGTCCACATGCTGTTCCCAAAAAAACCCTAAACGTCGGACTAAACGATGTCATACATGTTGGCCGCTAGATCTTTTCTGTCCTCAGCTTCCTGCTAAAACAAATCTGTTTTGATTGTTCCACATAGTAAACTGTTGTTGATCGATGTAATGCTGAATGGTGCTGGTGGCTGACTCATCACTCTTGGCTTGACTACTGCACAGCCTAATGAGTAAAAGTGAGGTACTACCAACTAAGAAAAAAGGTCCAGTAGCTAACAAAGGAAGAAACAAGGAAGGAAAGAAAAGGGAATCTAGCAGCCATCATATGGATAGAGAGCATTAAGAGAAGAGTCACTAATGTTTTTGCCAAATCTAAGCCGTATTTACTTTTTTGATGCCAATTTATTCAGGAAGACACTTAGGTTTTGAAAATGGAATGCATAAACGCTGCATGGTAGAAATTAGCTGAGAAGCAACATCTTAGTATACAGTGCAGGAGTGCATGGAGCACTTCTGATGGTGAGGGAGCCTGGGTTCCTAAACAGTCATTCCCAAAGAATGTTACAAATATTTGTGGGAGAGAACAAGCCAGTGAAATACAATTTTCTGAGCTGCTGTCTGCTTATCTAAAGCATAAACGATCCTACAGCAGTTCTATGTGTTTTCTTTTCATATCAACCTTAAGCTTATCTTATAAACACATCTTCAGTACGTAAAGTAAGTTAAAAACATCCATTCTAAAATTCAGATGCAAAGAGAATGTGGCTTGGATGCTTACTGGCATGAAGAGAGATATCCTGTCTTATTCTTTTTTGTTCTGTGATACAGTTGTAGCATTATCTGGTATCCAGGGCTTTGAAGGATCTATTGTAAGCATGTCAAAGACTTTTTAAATTACTTTGTTTTTGTAAATATTAGATCACAAAAACTGAGGAATGAGTCACACAGACTTGGATTAAACAATGTGTCCCACTATTGTTTTCCCTGTTTTGGAGTTGAAATTAAACTAGCATTAATAACCTTCTCCATATTTATTCTTTCAGTGAAAAAAAAAAAAAATCTGTTCTAATAATTACCGTATCTATAGAAATGTGCATTCAAAGTGCAGCTTAGACACTAACTAGTCACCACTGCGTGCTGCTTGTGCAGAGAGGAGAGGTGCCTTGCACAAGATCCCAATGTCCGTGATGGAGCTGGAGGGAGACAGGACTGCTGTCCCGTGATTAGCGTCTCACCTCCTTAATGACCTGGGCAGTCCAGGACGAACAAGCTATGGGACAAGTCTTCCACTTGGCAGTTTTACACACGGGAAGAGAGCATTCCCACAGCAAGTAGTAACTGGCCTAGCAGCCTTTCTGGCTAACAGCCACTGGCTCAGAGAGATAAGGGAAGGAAGTGCCACAGCTACAGGGCAGTTGTAGTTGCCACAGTGAAGGCTGTGTGGTTGGAGGCTAGGAATGGCTGAGCCTGAACTTGGAGTCCAGATTAAAACTTGACAAGAGTCTAAGGCTGGGACAAAGATGCAGATGTGGGAAGACAACAAATCAGCAGCTTGTCATAAGAAAGAGGAGAAAAAGAAAGAATGGGCAGAAAACCCTCTGCCCCCTTGCCCCGAGACGTAGTTTCAGGAAATCATGGTCATTCTGATGTTGGCATGTACTTGTCAGTTCCCCCGCCCCAGCAAGAGTCCAAACTCTCCTTCAGTCTCCTTCCTCTACAGGGTGACAATGTTCAGTTGCTATCGGTAATTGTTCCGGTACCTCATGGTGCAAAGGTCAGTGTCCTGACATAGGAGGTCTTGCCTTCCTGAAGACCATCTGGAGGACAGAATGCTACTGGACAGTGGAATTGCAGCTTTTTTTTAGCATCATTTTTAAAAAGTCTGGGAAATTAGTACTTTTTTGTACTAATTAGTACTAATATTGTACTAAGTAGGAAAGGTAGAAGAATAGTCAGGTTGTGAAATGAAGCACTCAAAAACTACAGAGTGTCACAATTAAGTGTCACAAATCAGCTGGTGATTTGATTTGATCCTGTTATGCATATTCATTAGGATATTTTAAAAACAAGTTTGAGTCCAACTTTATTTCTGCTGACGGCTCTTCAATGCAAATATTTGTGTGAAGGTGTTCATTTCCACAGTGCTCAGTACCATGAATAGCCATCACAACAGCAACACTTGCTAGGTATTTTAGCTTCGTTTTACAGTTGGGACAAACTTCTTCAGAGCCAAGCGGCAAGCACATCTGGCAAGGCAGGTTTAGCGGTTGAGATATCTTGGTACCTTTTCCTTAATTCAAATGACTGTTTCTGCTGAGCCACAGCAGTATATAAAATATACAGGGTGGAGATGAAATCCTGTCTCTACAGAAATTAATATAACTCAGACATTATGGTGCAGATACATATCCTTAGGGTCTAAGTTATTCTCTTCACCAAACCAAATTGCTTACAAATTGGCAAACTAACAAATATCAGCATTTATCAAAATGAAATCCATATGTTCTTCAAATCCATGTATCACCAACTACTTCCAGATGTAAAAATCCATGGATAGTTTTAAGGAAACTCAGTCCCGCAGTCAGTTTCCATCATGATTCTCAAAATTAGCACTGTTCACAAGCGACATACAACAATATTTGGTCTGTTCAGGAAACAATACTTGTTGCTTTCCTTAGAGCCAGGTATCCTGTAACCACATCTGAAGGGAGCATCCGAATATAGGCAAATTCTTCAATAGTGCTAAATCTTAGCTTGCTCTGAGGATCTGTGTAATTTGCCTGAAAAAGAAACAATGGCAGAGACACTATTCAAATAAAATCTCGAAACAGAAAACTAAAAAAGTGTCTAATTACAAGATCACAAAAGAGTGAGTTTCTTTTCCCAGTAACAGCACCGCTGTTCTACCGTGTGACCAAAAGTTTGTACTTTTTTCTTTCTCCTCGTGTCAGAACTTATGAGAAGTTAACAGACCCCTATAAAATCACATTAGAAATGCATTAAACATAACAGAGGGCTGAAATAGTTTCATACAAAACACAGTGCAAAAGAAATTCCTCAACTCTCTAAACTCACCCTAGCAACTGTGTGCCTTGTAGAGTCTCTCTCAAGGCAGCTCTCCAAAGAGTCAGGCTGCTGCCAATAAATTACCCACAAAGAGGCTGAATTATGGGTGCTCTGATAGCTTTGGACTGATTTTTCTCTTCCTGCATACAACTTAGCTTTTAATTTACTTTAAAGTGGTTGTTAAGGCAAGGGAGTCTCTGTGACTGAACTGATAAGAAATTTGAACTCAGCGCTGTGCTTTGCTACAGATGACTGCTTTCAGGATAGCAGTCTGGCCAGCTAACCCTGGGCTATGCTTGTATCCTCTGCTATATTTGGACCCTGGGTGCCTGGGAGCGGTGCCAGTCTCTTTCCATCCTCTGCCCTTCCCTGTTTCTACAGAAACCTTGAGCTCAGATGGGCTGGGGGGCAGCACAGGGGGCTGGGCTGGAAGAAGGCAGGCTTCAGGGTATTGCCTCTCTGCCTTCAGCCCCCAGCACAATCACTGCCTGTTCAGCACCCGATTACCAACTGCCTGCCAAGGCTCCGAAAGTGTCTTCTGTACCTTGCTTTAACAGGAGATGGTGGCAGGCTGGAAGGCACAGGCAGTTGAGATCCCTTAAGGCATTGCTACTAAAAAAGAAAAGGCCAGGAAGAGCTGGAGCATTCCCCCGATCCACTCTGTTGAAGCGCAGAGCCCTCTACCAGTTTTATGTTGGAAAGGATCTGTTGACCATGGTAACAATCCAGTTAATTGTCTGGCCTAATAAGACTAAGCAGAATATTATTTGTAGCTTGTTTCTTTACAAAGAAATGACACCAGGTTAATTAAATGTAGTCAGCTAACAGGCCATAAATTAATTTTCAAATAAATGGCAAAGTTAGGACACTAAGAGTACATTTATCCCTGATGGTAACTTTACGGTTACACCAGGTATAACTTTATTTTTATTTCACACTTTAAATCTGGGCTCATGTAAGAAAAAGCTAAGCAAGTAGACTGCTTCTCAAAAGTGCATGATTCTGTAATAAACTAGCCAAGCAATATCTGCAATTTGTATTGCGCATCAATATAGGTTAAAATATTATGGCAGTCTTCACCATTCTGATACTTTGTATTGGGCTGTACTGTTTGCACACACTAATGTATGGTAACTACTCATTTATGCCATGACTTCAGTCTGAAAACAAACTTTACTGCTACTTCAGCAATAATTAAAACAGATTATAAAAGTGAAGTAAGGTGATTTTGCAAAGAAAAAAACCTCTGTCATGTTTAGAAACTAAGTCAAAGGCCACAGATATGTGATCTTCCAATACAATAAATTAGTTATCTCAATCTGTTTCTATAGTAACAAGGCTGATCCATTTTCAGAAAAGGAAGATAAATATAAACATTTGAAGGTTTGGTTTTTTTAATATGCTTTACAATAAATTAGCCTGTTTTGCATGTTAAAATATCTAAATACTCATCTTGCAAGTTTGGAAATAATAGTTTCATTTTGCAGTGTCAATATAGTAGATAATAGCTTTTGAATTCTAGGCTGCCTTACAAATATAAATTGGCTGTTCTGCTTAGACCATTGGTAAATTTAATTCCATTTCTGTTACACACAGGAAGAGAAGAGGATCAGTAGCATTTAATTGTGGCATTTAATATAACTGCAGGTATACTGATGAGAGTGTTTTAATACACTTCTCTTTTTTTGTACCTGCTAGACCATTTAATTCTTCCCTAAATGGGTAATGCTAAGGAATTTGTTTTACTTTTTTTTTTCCATGGGGAATCCATCATTCCCATAGAAAATACATTCTTACACAAATGCTTTCAGATTTTACCCAGAAAATGCAGGGACATTTTTCTTATACTAGATTTCTAAAATATTCTATTACCCCACATATCTACTTACTAGGAAATGATCTTGAAAATACATCTAGTGCTTCTTATGAAACATTTCTAGCTTAGCAATTTAAAGGACACACTGTCTCAGTTATCTTAATAAAAAAGATTTTTTTAAACATGGTATTTTTATCACAGTCTGGAGAAACCTTGCAGGCCAGGTAAAATAGGAAACTTGACTCACGATGCAATTAGAGGATGGAAAATTAAGAAAGAAAAAAAAAAGAAAGTGAAAAGACAAAAAAGGGAAACAAAAGCAGCACTGAATGGATTCATTTAGAAAGGAGAGTATTTATACTGAGCTGGAATAGTTAGAGTACATAAATCACTGATGGAAAGGAGGAGCTGGTAAGGAAAAACTGAGGAACTGAGAGGAAGACTCTTATTCCTATGGCTAAACTAACCCTTAGCTGGCAGGGACACGGTCTTCATTCACATCTATAACCTGCACCATCATCTCGCTATAGGTGCAACAACTGACTAGTTTCAAAATGCATCAAAGGCCAGTGCTGGAAAGCATTATTTGGTTCTTTGGAGATGGGGCAGTGAAAGGGACTTACACCCTTATGCCTTCTGCCCCACATAAGCCCCTCACAGGTCAGAGATGTTGCAGCAACTCTAGTAGCACCTGGTGTGAATGCTACTAATACTTGCAAAGCAACTCTAAGGGGAGAGGACAGGAAACAGATGAACACCATTAAGTGACCCAGTATAGAATTCATCATTATTTCACATGTCCACTGATCCCCCCTTCCTCCATCCACTGCCTCTTTATATAGAACAGGGGTACTTATGCAAAGTTCCTTATTCAGCTGACCCCTGCTCCTTGTCTGAAAACAAGTTGCTATTATATCAAAGCAATACTCTTATGAGTACAAGACTGTAAGTCTGCCTGGCTGGAGGGAATTATTTTCGCTGGGTTTGTGAGCAGTCTCTTCCACTTGCTGTCTGCCAGTTCATCTGTGAGAGAGATGCTGCTTTCTTATTCCCTCTTGAACACCAAGGGTTACCAGCTTCAATCTGAGCAACCCACTCCATTTTCCAAATCATGCTCAAAGGCACAGGCTGGAAACATGCCACCTCCTAGGTGCCTTATTTAAATGTGTTACTTAAAAAATAAAAAGTCAAAGAAAACATATGCTACCAAATCAAGAACTCAGCTGTTAGGATGTGCAGGATTACAGTTGGCGCTATAGCTGTTCTTTGATGCCTTGCACTGTGTATCCACTACAAGGCAGTTCTTAATTAAGTGCTCTCCCATTTTTCCTCCCAATGGGGACTTTCATCTAATTCAGTGTACAGAATGCAAGGTGCTGTGTTAACCTGCATCAACATGACAAATGTGTATGTTTAGAGGCATCTCTATGAGGTGATATGAGGTCTGTGAGGTGGGCTAGTGCCCTATCGATGAGAAACAGAGTAAACTGGAGGAAGGGACCCAGAAATTCTGACTAAGGCTTTTTGTCATTACAAATTTTTCATTATTGTAGTTATTTAGTGTAACCATTACTTAACCCTTTTTATAGTCCAAAATACAACATTCCCATTCATTTCAATGGTAATAAATGCATAGGCTTCTGCAAAATAAATCACTGGGGACTGAAGGTGAAAAGTGAAAAGATACGCTGTTACTAACACCTGTTTTGTTTTAAGTAAAATTATTCATGTCACATAGGAACAGTGTCAGCAGCAGATACAAAATTTTTGTTGGGCAGAATTCAATGACTTTACTCCTGTTTTGTGCCAACAGAATCTTTGGGGAATTCAGGTGCCAAACTGTAACTACCGAGACTTTTTGGAGCATGTGCAAACCATATCTAAGTCAAATGTGTTTTGGTTTTTTTTCCTTTTCTCTTTCTTTTTTCTTTAACAAAACCATGTAAAAGAGCCCATCTGTGACACACAGGCTATACATCTGCCAAACTCCAAGTTCCAGCTCTGGAGCATAGGGATATCTGAAATTCATGAAAGTCCATGCCAAGTCTCTGTCTCAGGCTGATTTGTTTTAGGGAAAGTTTGACAGAAATGGTAACAATTTTTTTTTTAATCTGGGCCAATTAATATAATTTTGCCTAATCTCATTCTTGGAAATTCCTGAACCATCTTTATAAAACTTTCTCTGAAAGATATAAATAAATAAATCAGCCTCAGGCAAACACTCAGCATGGAAAGTTTCAGTCTGCGTGGTTAAAGCTTGGCAAAGTTAGCAGTCATGGAGACTGTGGGCTACCAGCTTTCACTGGAACAATCTAAAGAATCAGAAATGATGGGGACCAATGCAGACTCTACAGCTGGGTAAGTGGTGTGACAGGAGCCACCTGGCAGGACAAGGTATTTAATCTGTCCTGACGTCTATTAACAACCTAAGGATTTTGTGATGTAGCGACAGTATTTGGGGTTTGGCCCTAAATCGCTGGACAACTATTAAGCACAAGACTGAACAGGAACTTCAGCAAGTAAATCTTTAACAAGAGCATGCACCAGCTTTATCTCATTGCAGAAACTGAGATGGCAATTTTGAAGAAAAAATAAAATACTTACTGGAAGTCCTGAAATGTCCGAATATTTCTTGGCAGGCTTAAAGGAAGGAGGAGCATCAATATTAAAATCTAGAGACAAAAACAAAGGGATAAAATCAGTGTGCTATACATATTTTAAAATGTAAATGCAAAATGTAAATAGGTAACAAAAAGTCTTTAAAATGCTGCCTTTACTTTCTGAGGTCTCTGTTAACTAGCAATACTAAGCAAAGAAATATAAAGCAGAATTACCTCTGAAAACATATAGCCTGTTAGCACTGTAAACAACAGCCTGATTGTGCTCACCTCTCTAATACGAGTTCAGTTAAGCAGAACTACCCTCCCCAAAAGGAAAAATGCGAGAGCTATTTGAAATGTGTTGATTTCTTCCAAGTCCTAATGAATTCCCTTGCAGTCAGTTATTTGCAAAGAATAGCCATTATCATACATATGCTGTATGTTAAGACCACGAAACATTGCTCAAGATTGCAGCTCTGAAATACTATAATCCAGAAAAGCAAAGTAATCTTTTAAATCAGTTAAATCTTTAAGCATGTACCTCTTTAAGCCCAGTCAATGACCTAGAAAATTGTTGGAATGTTTAAATTAAATGATGGAAATTGCTGCTTTTTGGTGCCCTTTAGATAGTAACTCTCATTCATAAACATTTTTAAAATACAGTTGGTATGTTTAAGTAGTTAAATCTCCAATTTTGGATGTTTAAAATAATAGCTTGTACCTGACTCATTTCTCTCCTCCTTCCTGATCTCCCTTGCACCTCATTCAGATGCTATAATCAATTCAAATGCTCCATCCATATCAAATTTCTAACTCATCATCTCATAATTCAAGACACTAATGCTGCAGACAGCTGGTTTTAAATATGCAGCTGAATTTCTTTTCCCACCTTCTTAAAAAAAATCCTGTAAATTTACGGTTGCAAACAGAATGTAATAGAAATAGCAACATCAGCAGATTGTCGGTTACAATAGCCAGGAACACACAGTAGTCTGCATTTTTCTATAACAGTTGCATCTAAAACACTTAAAAAAATGGCAAGCTATTTTTGGATAAAGCACCAAGCCTGACAAAAAGTATATGCATATGCTCAATTCTGAAATGCCTCCACTTGCTTAAGTAAAATCTGAGGATCACATTCTGCCTCCAGCTACGTTCAGTAGTATCCTACTTTATGAGTAGACTTGAAGTATATCTAGATTAAGACCACTGCTGTAACTCTGCTCCTGTAGATGTACACCAGCTAGGACTGCTAATCAGGACTGCTAATAGTGTAGTTTCAGCTGTGCTGGGGATGTAGGATTTAAATCTCCCAAGAATCTAGGATAAGGAGCTGGATATGAAGCTTGGGCTGAGGTCTAGGCTACTGCAAGTATATGGCTTAGCAGAATCTATTTGAAAATACTTCAAATACAGCTAATCAAGCAGCAGCCACCCATCAGAAGACATTTGGGCTGTATGCAGAGGAGGGGGCTCCTCAGCAGTGAAGAGGTGACAAAAACCTGATGGGAATAAGGCATTTCTGACCTGGTTTGGATAAATACCTTTCCTTTATTAAACTCTCTCCCTAAATGTATTTTAACTTTGTCACAATACTCCAAATTATTTGCTTCCCCCTACTTTCCACTTAGGGCTGGTGAGTGTGATTGGACTAGTCTTAAACACACTACTGGACCCTGTTCAAGCAGGATACTGCATGCACTGATGAAATAATTTAGGTTTGTTTTAAAGAAAGTTATTTGTGTGGATTTTATTATTTATAAATACATGCAAAGCGTCTAAGCAGCTTACAGCTAGGATCATTTAGTTGCCATGGCAATGCCCTTTCAGAAGCAAGAATTTGTTTTAGGTTCTTCCAAGTTCTGTTCTTCTTGCCAGCTGCTGCTCCACCAATGCCGGAGTGCTAGAATTAAAAATACGATGTTTAGAGAAAAAATAAAGAAAGAATGCTATTTCAGAGCGTGACACTTCTATTTCATAGTCTTTCTGATACGTCTCATCTTGTCATGAACGATTTGTTATCCTCACTTATTTCACTAGCTAATATACTGTACACTTTAATCTTAGCTGCAAGAAAAACAAAGCTTTTTGGACTGTGTCAGAGCTACTATGTTTACAATTAACTGAAGGAAATGAAAATCTGCTTTTTACATGGAAATAGAAAATCAATGTGGTTAGGTTTAGCCTGAGATTACAGGATTCTGTATGTACTTCCCATCGTATTAGAACTTATTACTATGAAGTTGTGTCTAAAATTGTGATTACACGGCTAAATTTTCTCTCTTCTTTTTATGGCACATTACAGGTGCAGCTCTAGCTCTTCTAGAAATTATCCGTGACTGTAGAAAACACAACTGATCTTGCAAAATGTAATGAGTACTATGAGAAACTTTCTGGATTTTTTTTTTTTTTCCAAAAGATAGAAGGCAGAAGAATAGAAAAAGAGTAACAAATAGAATGTTGGCTGCCAAGACAATTTTGCATTTTGAAAGGTACACTAATGGAAAGCTTGCCACAGGTACTATAATGGTAGTTTCAGTTATCAAATGTAATTGCCTCAGAGTAATTTATTTATGTCACTCCAGAGACAGAAGCTGCACAACATACTGTACTACTTCTAAATGATCAAAGGACACAGATTTACAGCTTTACTTCAGAAAAGAAAATGTTCTTACAATTAGGGAGTTGTTATTTCTGTTAATAATTACTACCTGCCACATCAGTCTCATCCAAACTC